AAAAAAAAAAAAAGTATCTATGTATCTATCTAAGAAGACAGACAGACAGACACACACACACACACACATATATATATGTTAAAGCACTTATTTTTGTAAGTTGAAAAAGTAGTTTATATTTTGTGAACAAGTCTCACAAAGATGATATTACCTTCCTGAAACCCTATTCCATTTCTACATCATAGGGTCCTGCTGGGATTGTCAGTGTTTCTCCTCTATTTATGCATAAACACACATTCATATATACACACATACACACACAAAAGACCCAAGTTCATAAATTAGATAACCTGATTCCATTCCACCAATAGGGAATGATTCATTCAGTGGAGGGCTTACAATCCAAGTACAATTAAAAGTTGCCTTTTGTTTTCTTTTAATTTATCCTGAAAGAAAATCATGCTATTCTTTTCCATCACAAATTTTAAGTGCAGGCTAGGGTTACCTACAAATGAAGACAGCCTGCTTATCATTCAATGAATCACTGAGTACTATACAAAAATAAATCCTTGTCCTCATGGAGCTAACTTTCTAGGTGGAGTCTACATAGAGTGAAGTAGACACAAAGAAAGAAGCAAAGTGACATAGACATTCTGACAACACTGAGTCAAGAAAACAGATTGCAATGAGTTACTTACCCTTACAACATTCTAGTTACTTTTTAAATTGGATTTCTATTATTTACAGGTATTTACACCTAATTTATATTAGCATTAGCAAAGGGAATAATTAACTTTTACTCTATTATCTCTATCTCCCAGTTGCCACTGTATCTATTCTGATTCATCTCAATGTTATGTATGTCAGAACAAAATTGTGCTCCACACAGTTTGCAACAGCTAATTTTTTCAGATGATTGCCAGGCCTTTTTTTCAATGCATCTCTGGATGGATTTACACCTCCACCTTTTTGGTTAGCAGATGAGCACCTAAACTGTTTGTACCATGCAGGGACTCAAACAAAACACCCCATAAATTGATAACAAATATATAAAAGAATACCTCATGTTCCTTATGATTCATCCACGGTGACTGTAAATAAAAATCGATAGGTGAGTCTGTTAAAAACAAAACAAAAATAGAGAAAACCAGTTATTTCATCAAGTTAACACTAAAAAATACCTAAGATTAGAAAATTAATAAATACTTCTATTATAAAGTAGAATAGCAGCACTTTTAAATGATGGTATAGAAATCTATCAATAGTCAGCTACATTAAAATTTGTTAGGGTGGGAATCAAAACTCAAAAACTGGCCTGCACATAATGTGAAAATCTAATTAAGACTTTATAACTAAGCTCTGTTTTAAAAAGATGTGAGGAAGAATGAAGTTAGGGAAATGATACCATTCGTAAGCAGAGACAAGCCCAACAGTAGTACAATCTACAGGATGCATCACCTGGCTTTTTCAACCAAGCAATAAACAAAGAGAAAAGAAGGAAAGGTTGCACAATCCTAAAAGTCTTGAAAGATATAAGAACAAATGCACTGCAAGATAATATAATCTTACTCTGGACCCAATTCAAGCCATTCAAAGGAGATATCATTAAATTAGAATATGGATTGAGATATGGTTGTTGTGGTCAGGTGTCTTGGAATCGGTTCCAATGAATAGCGATGCTATGTAAAACAGAACAAAACACTGCTCAGGTCTGTATCATTCTCATAATTATTGTTATATTGGAGCCCACTACAGCTGCCACTGTATCAATCCATCTAGTTGGGGGGGCGGGGGGGGGGTCTTACTCTTTTCCCAAGCAAGATTTCTTCTACAGGGACTGGTCACTCCTGACAGCATGTCCAAAGTATAAGAGACAGTCTCACCATCCTCATTTCTAAGGAGCTTTCTGGCTATAACTCTTCTAATACAGATTGGTTTGATCTTCTAGCAGTCCATGCTACTTTCAACATTCTTGTGCCAACACCACAATCCAAATGCATCAATTCTTCTACTGTCTTCCTTACGCACTGTCCAACTTTCACATGCATATGAGACTACTGAAAATTCCATGGCTTAGGTCAGGTACACCTTAGTCCTAAAAATGGCATCTCTGTCCTTTAAAACTTTGAAGAAGTCTTTTGCAGCAGATTAACCTAATGCAATACATTTTTCTGATTTTCGGACTGCTGTTCCCAGAGCATTGATGATGGAGTCAAGTAAAAAAAAAACAAACACACTGCCTTTCGCAACTTCAATCTTTTCTCTATAGATCACAATTTTATTTACTGGTCTAGTTTTGAGAATTTCCATTTTATTTATATTGAGATGCAATCCATACTGAAATTCTTTATCTTCTTCACTAAGTATTTCAAGTTCTCTTCACTTCATAAAGATAGACTCCTTTGAGGAGTACCTTCCAGCCTGAGGGGCTCATTTTCCAGCACTATACCTGACAATCTTCCACTGCTATTCATAACATTTTCAGTGACTAATCATTTAGAAGTGGTCTTTCTGTCCTTCTTCCCAGTCTGTCTTAATCTGGATGCTCCAATGAAACCTGTCCACTATGGGTGACGCTGCTATTTAAAATAACAGTGGCATAGCTTCCAGCATCACAGCAACACTCCAGCCTCTACAGTAGGACACAATGACAAATGAGTAGTCATCACTAGAGGCATCAGATGATAACAAAAGAACTGGTACGTTTTTCAGCTGTATGGTAATTGAACTATGGGTGCACAAGAAAATGTCTGCACTGGAACGGAAGGTAGAGAAAAGAATAGCCAGAAATATCACCATAGAAAGCTTGTAAGTCCGTCCTCTTCCTAAAACTGATTGGAATATCTAAAATGGGGCTACAATGTGTCCATTAAAGGAGGTTTCCTGAGGAGCCTGTACATTACACAAGACTACAGATGGAAGCCTGAACCACATCCAGACCTTCAGAGACAGGAAACTGTCTTCTTGAAAGGACACACAGACCAGCCTGGAACAGCCAGAAAACCAGAAGACGAGTCTCGAAAGAAAGACCTACAGGAAAAATACAAAACAAGAAGGACAGTCCGACTGTTACCACAAGAACAAGCAAGTCGCTTGCCCAGGAGACAGCAAGGCAAGTGGTTGAGTCCTCTCAGTGCAAACCCTCTTCCAAGACCAAGATGCAGTGGAAATATACGCTCTGATTGGCGACCACACATGTCACCCATAAGGAGAAGCAACTGATGAACATCAATGAAGCGGCAAGCAAAGTCCTGCATCGATCAGCAGACTACTGGGAACCCGGGTGGAGACTTGGTCGGCCAGCAGCGAGGCAGAACCCGGGGACTCATGGGCTCAGAGTCAGAGACACAGCCACAGAGGACTAGACTGGGCAGCAAAGCGATCAGCTAATAAGAAGAGGGCAGACAGACGAAAGAACACCCACACTTGCTGATGATACCCACTTGATCTGGCTTCAATGACTGGATGAACAGAGCTCAACCCGAAGAAGAAAGAGGAGGGGGAAAAAAAGAAAAAAATAGTGTCACGTGATACAACTTGATATACTTGACCTGCACCTATAAATGTAGTAGCTCAAAAGAGGAAACAAATCCCTACTCCAAGAATTACTCCCACCCTCTCCACACAAAGAGTAGATAGGGATGGGCAACTTGAACATTGGCTACCCAAAATGTGGGGAGGGATACAAAGGTAAGAAGTCACTGGCTTACAAGCTTTCAAGAGGGAACCTAGATCCGCAGGGCGGGGAGGATGGTAGAGTCTTCAGTGAATAGTACCCAACCTGTCTAGGAAGGGCTGATGAAAAGAAATGCAGATGGGTCTCTTGTGATGCAAGGGCAAATAACTGTTATCAGGACTGATTGTGAGGACTGGAAATGTAAAGGTAGATATGTTATAGCAAGGAGGGGAGTGATTAACCTTTCAGTCTAAGAGCGGAGAGCCCTGGGACCCATCACTGGAGAAGAGCGGGCATCGAGACCCCACCCAGAGAAGCAGTGTGGCCTGAGATGGAGACAGAGAGGATGACATGAAGAGATGGAGTGGCTGAGGACTTGAGATCCAGAGAGAGAAAGGGGCTGTGTGCTGAGAACTGAGGGGGGGCTTGCAGGGTATACCCTTTGGTTGGGTGATGATGCATGTATGGGGTGGTAACTATGGCAATGAAATGATGTATGATAGAATGAATGTAAAACTAATGTTCCCCCATGTAAACTATCACACAATTTAAAAAAAAAAAGAAAATGTCTGCATTGTTAGAGATGCATACATAGTAAAATTTGTAAAAGTGAAATGATACTGTGGAGAATTTGTTTAAAATTTTCAGAAAAAGGTAGTAAACTAGTAAACATTCTTGCTGTTCTGTGCAATTTACCCTCATTTTCTTTATCAAAAATTGTTTTGTTTTGTTTCTTTTATCTTCCTCTAGTTGAATTCTGATTACCAAGCCATCAAGGCTAGATCAAATTGGTACTATCTGACAGTCTGGACATTCTTGTATGTCTCCCCTCACTTCATATCAGCTGGATATGTCACTCAAAGTTAATGTTTTTGAATTGCTGTAAGATTCACAAATGATAACATTCAGCCTTTAAATACCGTACAAATCAAAGAAGCTTAGTATGTTCATTACAAAGTTATGAAACCATGTAAAACCTAGTGTGACATCAAATGTCCTCATAGAACTTAAAGAGGTGGGAAAGAGAGAAACATCATTAACATGAATGCAAGGTTGATTCCTATGAGATGGAGTCAGACATACCTCCATTCTTCAACCTTTCTACCAATTTCAACACCAGCAATCCTTCTCAAGGCACTTTCCACTTCTCTGCTGTGTTCAATAATTCCTAGCAATACCCACACAGAATGCACAGATCATACTCATGATTATGGGGTTTACTAGAGAAGTAACTGGTTACAATTCAGGATCAGAATCAACATGACAATGACAGAACAACTCAGGAAACAGTTAAATGATCAGGGCCAGTTTCTCCTTGCCCTCTACTCTTAGCCCTTGATCTGGTCTCTGCCTTGCTTGGCAAGTGTTACAAAGTTTTTTAGCTTTGGCAATAAGTACAGGAGATACTCCACTGCACAACGAAGCCTCCTACCCGTAAGTGTTCCATTCTCTCATACCATCGGTCCATGTATCCACTATAGTTGCCTCATTCTGTGGGCCAGGAAATCTACCATGACATTTCATGCCAGTCTCCTGGTTCCTGCTGTCTGGTACCGCTGCTGTCTACAGTGTAATAGCTCTCCAGTGTTACAACTCTTCCTGTCTCCTGAGTCTAGGAGGCTTTCATGCAAGAATCCTAGGTTCACAAAATATGGTTCGCTACCAGATCTTCTTGATGGTAGTGAAGTATCCGAACAACACACAAACTCTGCGATTGGTTACCTTTAAGCAAAACTGACCAACCCCCTAAAAAGGTCTCATACACCTTATTTGCATGACCCACCCAGGCAAAGGTTCCATGTATCTTGTGTGCATCATCAAAACTGCCCAATCCCTTTGGTGGTCCACAAGCACCTATGGGCACAGCGTTACTCTTGGAATTACAAGACCATAGCTAGAAAAAACATTTTAAGCAGTATACTGCACTTCAAACAACAACAATCTAATTAATTTAAGAATATATTAATAAAAAAATTTTAAAAACAAACACTCTGTAATCATTAGCAATGAATCCAAACCCCACTTTCGCTAAGCCCATGCAAAATTTAAACTATCTATAAATTTTCTTATTTTAGTGGGTTAATGCGCCAGATTGCAAAACCATTTTGAACTGCAAGGTCAGCGGTTAAAGCTCACCAGCTGCTCCTCAGAAACCCTATACAGTGTCACTATCGTTCAGATTCAATTTGACAGCACTTAACAACAACAATAATGGTGTGGGTGTTGTGGGTTAATGCACCAGACTGCAAAGCCATTTGAAATGCAAGGTCAGGGGTTCAAGGTCACCAACTGCTCCTCGGAAACCCTATATAGGGTTGCTATGGGTTGAAACCGACTCAACAGCACTTAACAACAACAACATACATGGCAACCAGTCATCTGTCAGTTTTTCGTACTGTGGGGGCTTGCTTCTTGCTATACCTGTAGTATTTTAAATATCA